TCAGAGATTTTTGAGGTGAATCTTCTATTTGGAATCCAGTTTCATGAAGCATTTCTTCAGTTAGCACAGTATTCTGTCTAGTGTATTTCTTGGCCAATATACACCCAGTTGAAAGCACTTTCCTGACAAATTCAAAAACTGCTGATGAAGCTGCACCTTGAATACGAGGATAAATACAGCAGAATTTTCTTTTACTTGATTTGTATGATTTATTTTTCATGTAAGTATCATGCAGAAAAACCCACCGTGTATATTTCATGATCTCAATTCAATGCTGTAAAGGAGAACATGGACCAGATTTCTTAATGTTTTACCACAACAGAAACACAAGGGGAACTGATATATAGTAGAGGGAGTCTAGCTGCAGTCAAAGTGATGCAAGGCAAACAGCATGAGACAATCTATAGTAACACTGCCTGAGTCTCATTCCTCATCACTTGACCACTTAAAGTAATTTCAGTTACCCCTTGCAAAACCCCATTAATTCAAAATTTGTGATAATTCAGCCAACTGTTCCTTTGTGCATTATGACCTTGATGATCACAGTGATTGCAAACTGCTGCATGTAGCATTAGAACAGTACAAAAGAGGAACAAAAATCAAAATAACTTAATTTTTTAAATTCACTCTCAATAATCCTAAGCATACAGGCCACTTAAAATGTTTTTAAGGCTGATGTCAAAATTTACATTCTTACATTTTATAACAAGTAAATTTATTTTACAATGGGTGATCTAAGTTTCAAAGTAAAATTGTATTGCCTAAAATGATATGAGAAGCCATTTTATAGCTTCCTTGAATATACGAGTACTTTTAGTAGCACTTCTATAATTTGGACAACGGTCCCAATGACTCCAAATCAGTGAAGTCTTACTGTACTTTACACTATAGCATAATGCAAAGTAGTAAAATTAGAGACACTCTATCCTTGGCTTGTATACCATATCTTCGGGCTGGCACAGGTATCTGGAGATAGGGACTAGCTCTATCAGTTGGGCCAAACTGAGGAGGTTTTACCTGAAGGAGACAGAATGCATTCTCCAAATTGTTGTGTTTCAAAAAATAAAGAGAATGGTGCTTTTAGATAAAGACAGGACAATGAATAATGTCCAAAAACATAATATTTGTACTCTATCCTTTATCTAAAAGAATACAGCACACTTTTTTTCTTATTTTCTGGCTTCTATGTTAGGAATTAATAAATGAAGACACCCTAAAAGAGTAAAGAAAAAAACATTCACAGTCAAAGCAAAATGACAACATTCAAGCAGAGTTTCTTTCTTCAATACACAGTTCATCCCAAAACTAACAGCACAGTTACCAAGACGAGCACATCTGAACTACCACGAAGATACACAACCACACTGAAGCAGGCAGGGAGACAGTGGGAAGCTACCATTATAATGCCATCCTCAGTACTACATTTATATGCCACTAAAACAACTTCGTTATGCTTAATTTCTTTGACGCCATTATTAAAACATCCTATAATGTATATAAATGTCAAATTCTTTTCAGACTGCAAATATTCATGTAAAATTACAGATCTTAATAGTATGCATCCTGTTTTGTGTCATAAACAAGGCACATAAAATGTATACAAAAGCATGCAGTTTACACAACAATATTCTGTAATTAAAATAAAGTAGACACTATTGTATCAACATTTGTTTTTATTGATGATACATGTTCCAACCCTTATACTGGGTCATCATCAGGCATACAATGATACCAGACTCAGTTGCTGAATTGCATCTAACAATTTACATCTAATTCTTCAAAAAGAATTCTTGTGAGTTCTTAAATGCATAAATTGAGTCTTTCAGTTAAAATTTTAAGTACTTAGATAAACACCGCTAAAGCATTGATTTTATATTCATAGGCACATGCAATAAATATATTGTGACATGATGTCTGAATGTCAGAAGTGTGAAGTCAGAAAAGCACATCAGAGATGGAATCCACTGCTAGGCAATGGTCTGTTGAAACACATTTCCAGGATGACCAGCTGGAACACTCAGTTGCTGAGCAATGCTAGGTAAACAAAATGGGTTGTTTACCATGGTATTACAAGTGTATCGATCACAGTGCAGAAAAACACAGTACTGGATGTAATGCTGTAGAATTTTGGCAAGGGTTTTGTAACTTTTATGTATTAAGTTATCTTTGGTTCACAGTTAGAAAGGTTAGATGAAGGGTTAATGTTTGAAGCAGAATGCATGAAGTAGCAACGTAAGTGATAAACTGTCACATTGCATAGTACTGCTGATTTACGCGGAACAGACTGCTGTATGGAAAAAGATAGAGAGCCAACTCAGTGAGACAGCCTGAGCAGATCCAACCCTCTCTACCGAGATGACCAACCACGTCGGTACTTTGGGGGAGAATTCGCTCTAATTAAGGGGCGGAGCTTACACAAAGACAGGAGTCAGCAGGGAAAAGGTTATAAAATAGCTAACACAACTGGAGGAGGTTCATTCAATCAATCAATTGATCAATCTACCAATCTATCGATCAATTGATCTATCCATGTATCTGAGTGTACAAATGTTAAGTGAGTAGCCAGCCAGAGGCCAGGAGGGCCAGAGCCATGGTCGAGCCAGACAGAGGGGACACCATCAGCTTCCTACACCAAGTAAGTTGAACTGTTCATATCAGTCATGGATATAAAGTGCTGTATTATTAAAGTGCTATTTTACAAGGTTAGGGAACCACGAGAGAGAGAGTGTAGGCCCTGAGTGAGAATGTAGGAACTACCTCAAGAGCTAGGATAGTGAACCCAAGAGTGTCTTTATCTGAATTACAATGTGTATGTAACCGGCCACTGTCGGCCATGAAATTGAAATGTATATAAGTGTATATATTAGTAGATGAAAGTAGACCAAGTAAGGGGGATGCATGTGTTAATGACTTACCCCACAGTCACACCCTCTACTTCCTGATCTCCCGTACCTCCCAGGTTAGCGATACTGTGAACTCACAGCTAAGAGGTAGCTAACAAGACAACTACCAAGCGCTTAGCCTTGCAACTGGTCATTCCCCAAGGGCGCAACGGCATGGATGGCGGAAGAGGTGGAGAGAATCCTCCACTCCCCCCTTCACGCCATAACACTGGAACCATTGAAGGCAGTGGTTTCTATATGGTTCTCCCAAAGTTATGAAACGTAAAGTAGTTTGCCAGATGAGTCATAGTGAGGTATCCCATGTGGAGGCAGGGTCAACTACTTCCACCACAGCCCTGTGACTTGTAAGAGGTGACGAAAAGGGAAGTCTCAAATCTGAGACAGTAAAATATGGTCGTGAGTCCCACGGGACTCGGACCCCAAGAACAACCAAAAAATACAATATACCACAACTCTGAAAATAATGTAAAATGTACATTATGACTGATACATAAGCTTCATGCATGAAATACTTCATGTTCTCTGTCCCAAATGGTGCAGATCTTCTCCTTTATCTCAAGAGAACAACTTTACATAACAATAAAAAATTGTAGACACATAAGATACAGAGGATTTAACACTGGAATGCTGTGCAAATTTTTACAGCCAATGTAATCGATATTGCCATTACAAAAGTTAAAATATTCCTTTACTTGACAACCTTTCAAGATGTTCTCAAAAACTAAAACAATGTTGATAAGCTACTGCCTAGAGTTTAACAAAATCAAACTATGTGTTCATAAGAATTTTTATTTCACATGAAGCCGACATTTTGCACACAATATCACAACAAAAGCAAAGCAAACTTTTCAATTTCTTTCATTCCTTTTATAGTTTCATGTCAACATCGGTTATTCCTTTCATGATCTGAGGCTAAATATTCAGCCTAAACTCTCAAACTAAAAAATCAGCATAAGTAAGTTTTGTTCCTAATAAAGTTGGGATTCTGATGAATTGGGGGACCTGATGGTATATTTGATGCATTTCAATTATGGCAACAAAACAGAATGTGTTTCTTTTGGTCATGAACACAACAAATTTTTCCAAACAAAACCAATCCTAATCACTGCATTAACATTGGTTTTATTTTAGCATCTGCTATATGTTTTGATCCAGGTTTGGATCATCAAGCAGTTTCTTAAATACATCACTTGTTACTGAATTGTCATAATATGAATGCAGACATGGACTGAAGACATGGATTGAAAAATATAGCAGGTGCTAAAATGAAACCAATGTTAGTACAGTGTTACTGGGTTGGTTTTGTTTGAAAAAATATCTGCTATGTTGATGACCAAAAAACCACAATGTAACAAACAACAGGATGCAGACAATAAAGAAAGAAAACAGAAGAACTCAGACTTGAACATGAAGCTTGAAGTATGTCTGTGTGAAGCTGGCAGCTCATCAGAAAGCAAAATATGAATGTCAGAGGAAACAAAAGCACTGAGGCTGTTCAAGAACAAAGTGTGAAGGAGAATCCTTGGACCTAAGCAAGAGCAAGTAACTGAAGGATGGGAACAACTGCACAATGAGAAATGGATAAATAATTCCAATCAAAAACCGCCAAGAAAGGAAGTAACTTAGGAGATTCAAGCACAGAAGGAAGAATGTTATTAACACTGATTTTAAAGACAAAGGGTGTGAGGGTAGAGACTAGATTAAAACTGACTCAGAATAAAAACTAGCATTGGACCATACTGAGCACAAGAATGAATAATCAGGTTCCATAAAATGTGGATAATTTCTGTACCAGCAAAGCAATGTAAGCTCTCAAGTAGGACTCTTGTTTCACAGAATCAGTAAGATAATTATTTAGTCTGTCACTTGCCTTCTGGCTTCCCAGTAGTTAAGGAACTTATGACAGCATTAACGAAAGAGCTGCTTAACTGCTAATTGTTATCACACATATAAATGAAACATATTTATCAGCCTTGTCACCTGAAAAACTTATATCACTATTTTCTTGTGTGTGTGTTAAAGTAACTAATTTGTTTTCCAGTATGACATATAAGTATAACTGTGAGAGATGGCATCATGGCAGGCTGGCAGACTTACTTGAGACCGCTACTACTCGTGCTACCAGTGCTGTTAGTATTAGCCTGCACAGCATTGTTAGGTGTTCCCTCACGGCTCCCTCCTCTCCCCCCCTGCTCCCTGTAATTGCGGTAGTAGTTCTGAATGCACACAGCTGCCTCTTGGCTCTTCTTGAACCGCTTGTGTTCGCAGTATGAACGGAAACCATTTTGTATTACCATCGCTGCACGGGTCATTTGCTTGAAGTAAGCATACTGTAGAGTCCCAGGAAGTCATGAAACAGAAGAAAAGAAAGGACATGATCACCATCTGTGCTATGCTTTCCATAAATTCACATTACTACCACCTTCAATACAAGATACGATTTTCAGTGCTTATTAATACATGGTTGGTAGATATATGCACTTTTATATACACAACTGTTTTATCCAAAAATTACTTCCTCTGTTCATGGATAGTCTGTCATAATGTGAAATTCTGAAGACATGTTATGTTAAGTACTGTCACGTGTATTAGTGTCTTTAGATGTGGGTTTGGATTGGTGAATTGATTTATTGGATATTCACTTGTTGCAACTATAATTAATTATAACACTTTCAAAATTTCTGTAATTGTAACACATAAATAAAGTCTTCTATATCTTCTTTAACTAGTTGTTGCTAGGTAACAGATCTAAACAATGGCTATTCCTCTACAAAGTTTTCCTTATCCTCTTCCTGGCAACAGATTTTAACACAGGAACTATGTGTATAACTGTCAAACTCCAGATATCATTGCACTACAGCACACATAACATCTTCAAATCACATCTTCAGCCCCCACTGGCTGACTTCTAAATCTTCTTCACTTTGAACTTCCCATGGTTATGTCAGACTAAGAACTGACTTGCAACTGCCCTGAACTAACTTGCTTCTGAATTCACTTCTCTTAAAAGTACTCTGCACAGACCCCACAGAAAACACAGTCTGTATTGTCGATGATGTCACCGCATTGCATAGCATGGTCCGATATGCGGAAATGTGTTTACTGAGCCATTGTCTAGAAACGGACTGTATAACCCCACTGTTCTCCTATTGCTTAGCACAGACCACATAGAAAATATTTTCCCCTATATTCTTGCATGTTTGGAAGTGTTTACTGAGCCCTTGCCTGGTAATCCTTTCATCAAATCTGTTACAGTATTTATAATGGAGGTTTTTCTTTTCTGGGAAAAGATATACCGTACTAAATGTATGAATAATTTGGAAAACTAAGAGATACAGATATTCTTCTGTGCAGCAGTACTGAAAATGAATTGTTATGGCACAGAAGAACTGCTCTAAAAGGAAAAACACAATACAATGTGATTCTCATTTACTTAACACAGTTACCTGGTAATCACATTTGACAATGAACACTGCAGTTGAGTGATAAGCACTCTTGCTTCACATCTGGTGGGTCCCAGGTTTTAGTCTCAGTACAAAGCTGGTTATTCTAAGCATTCTCTTTGTTTATCTAAGTCCATTCATGTAAATGCTAGAAGAGTACCTCAAATGGCCACATCCGTTACAATTCACTATTCATATTTATTCAGCCATTTATACTATGTAACCTATGCAGCTGAGGCGGCTTCATTAAATAATAAATAAACACAGTGATTATTACAGTCTCCTGGCACGTGACACTGAGTATTCTGGTTACAGTCTAGAAGCCGGTAATCCTCACAGACACTGCCATAAGAACTACGTGTACATACCTCACAAACATAGCAGCTGTCACCACACACTGCAGTTTGAGTGCTCCTGCTTTGCATTTTCTAGATCCTAGCTTCACATATCATGTTGGGTCAGCTATTCTACCAGAGGTCCTCTGTGGTTTTCCTTAATCATTTGAGAAAAATGCTCTGGCAGTAGCTTAGAGTAAATCAAGCCTTGACTCCAACATACTTTTCTTTTCTTCAACAGATTCCACTAAATTTCCACCAAATCTTCACACTGACTGCTTTGAGGAATCAACATGTGTATCAAATTTGACAGAAGCGTTTGTTTCTCACATCAAAATTATTGGAGTTTCTTCAGTCAAAAAAATAACTACCATTTAAATGCCAGGCAATGAATGTATCAGGCTGTTTCTTTAACTTAAGAGTTCATCCTAGCAAAACTACCTCTTTAGTCAACTTCCACCATTCCTCAGTTAGCATCAGAGTCCCTCAGAGGCTTTCATTACATTACATTTTAGACCAGAAGTGATATACAGAAGAGTGAAGGAGGAAAGGAGAGGTTTCTTACCCACATCTGAAATCAACGGATTTAGAAACATCCCAGTAGTACAAAAGGAAAAATTGAAGCATAAAACATACTGACATCAATAATTAATGACAAACGACCATCTTTTCCTGACCTAATGCAAAAATATTTTATATTTAGGCATCTTTAGCTTTGAAGAAAGCAGTCTTCTAGGATGTGGCGCCATGTAGATATTGTGTTAACTGACGTTTCTGCTCGTGGATTTCTTCCTTTTTCTTCTACCCTGAAGATGGAGGCGATACGTTCCTCCGAAACGTTGGTTAACATAATATCTACATGGCGCAACATCCCAGAAGACTGCTTTCTTCATAGTCACTGCCATGAAAACCTCAAATCTTTAGCTTTGTTTTAAGGCATACCTTTAAGCCATCATATCATAATACCAAGCCTGGTCCATATAAACTCTGAAAGGCCAAGCAACTGTCTTAGAATTCAAAATATAAAAGTTCTTCAGATGACCTTAGTCTTGTGCTGCTGGTTTTCAGGGGCTTGTGAAAAGATGGGACAAGTGCCTCGATGTACAGGGCGATTATGTTGAGAAATAAAGGCATTTTTCAAATCAGTACTCTTATATGTTTAAGTTCTATATCCATTTGTAACTTACTTACTGACTTACCTAATACATAGCTTGACAATCTATTAAACATGATACTTTGAACACAAAAAAACCTTCCTTTAATAATCTGATTAAAGAATTCAAACCCTTGCATTCATTTTATAAGAAATAAGAGAGATAGAATATCATACAATTACAAACATCCACTTATTGCCATGGATTCAAATCTAAAAACAAAACCAAATTTTATATATGTCATGGGGGAAGTTAATAGCATTCATTTTCATATTTTGGAGGTGTCATGTTCAAATCTTGACACAGGGACCTAGTATCCTGATATCTTTTGTGGATTTCCTCAGTCCTTCAGGCAAATGCCAATATAGTACCTCAAATTAGGCCATAACCATTTCCTTCAAATGCACTACTCACAGGTCACTCTACCATTCAACACTACACAGTATGGGTTACTGAGAGCATCACTAAATAAACCTTAAAAGGTAAAAACATAAAGTTGTCCCCATGTTCAACTAATTAAGCACTATGCCATGAGGGTGTATGAGGAAGTGGATGTATAGATCCACATTTTCTTTACTTTGGCACTAGCTGGATGTGAATGGTCAGTTTCATGCAACTGCTGCTTTACACCTGGAGAAAGAGCACCTGGTACCCATTGGATAGGAGGCTAGGCCCCAGAGCCAGTCTAGAGGAAAGAAAATCCTTGACTCTACCAGGACTCAAATTCTGACCCCTCAGTCATCCACCTCATAGCCAGTCGCACTACAGGCTGTGTTAGCACGGCTTCTAAAGAAACCTTAAATAAAATCAAATTTATACAGATATTATGCAAATGTGTCCATGGGCAAATTATAGTAATATTATATACACGTGCTTGAGTGCATGCAAGCAAGCACGCATGCACACACGCACACACACACGCACACACACACACACACACATATTGGTATTGTAAATGTTCAATGTCAGAAAAATCAATATTTTCAAAATATATGTAGTTCCAAGTCCTCTTCCAGACTAGGTTGGCATACCTGTTTATAGCGGCGATAGTAATTCTGTATAAGTACAGCTGCCGCACGTTCCTTGTCCTGTTCCTCCAGCTTCTTGCGACCCTTATATGATCGGTATGCCTTCTGGATAATTTTAGCTGCTTCATACAATTCTCTCTGTTCACGATCTGATTTCAGAAATATGATGCATCATCAGTTTCAATTTAACTTCAAAACTACTTCCAGGATTAAGAACGCTGGGTATGATTTGAGGTTTCTTTGGGGGTGAAAAGTAAGAATGTGGATTTCTGGTTATAACAAAACATACTTTTTATATGTGGTTATCGGTGTTGCAGCAGAACTTGCTGCCTCCGTATTCAGAACAACCAGTGTATCATACTTCAGATGTCCACAATGTTATAATTGGTTAGATTCAGAGGTAAGAACTTTACTGCAATTCATACACAATTTACAATGTAAATGTTTAGTTCCTTACATAGTGTGAATTAACTAGATGTCAAAGTTTATTCCTTGAGTAGCCACTAGTTTTTTACTTTATCAAGAAACTTTCTATCATTGCGGAATGTTAACAATCATTAACAGTCATAACATATGCACATCACTGAATCCCAACATGATCCAGAAACAAAATGAATTTAATTCCTTCAAATTATTGAAACTAACATGAATATGAAGAGGCCTCAAGATATAAAATGTATCTTAAAACTATATACTTGTATTATAAAATATAAAATGTATCTTAAAACTATATACTTGTATTATAAAATCTAGTTGAAAACAGGTTTCATTACTTTTAAACACCATAACATTTTGATTACTTGAATAGGTGGAAGAACTATTTCTCTCAGTTATTGAATGTACATAGGGTAAATGACATTAGGCAGATAGAAATACATACACCTGAGCTGTGAGTACCTGATCCTAGCCCTTTTGAGGTTGAAATTGCTATTGCAAAATTGAAAAGGTATAAATTGCCAGGTAGTGATCAAATTCCACCAGAACTTATTCAAGCAGGAGGTGAAATATTATGTTCTAAGATCCATAAGCAAATTAATTTTATTTTGAATAAGGAAAAATTGCCTGATCAGTGGAAGGAGTCTATTATTGTACCAGTTCACAAGAAGGGTGATAAAACTGACTGTAGTAATTATCGGGGATATCACTGCTATCAACTTCATATAAAATTTTATCCAATATTCTTATCTCAAGATCAAGTCCATATATAGATGAAATTATGTGGGATCATGAGTGTGGGTTTTGACATAACAGATCAACTAGAGATCAGATCTTTCTTTTGCATTCATCAGATATTGGAGAAGAAACGGGAGTACAATGAGGCAGTACATCAGCTATTCATAGACTTCAAGGAAGCCTATGATTCAGTTAGGTGGGAAGTATTGTACAATATTCTTGTAGAGTTTGCGGTACCTATGAAACTAGTTAGGCTGATTAAAATATGTTTAAATGAAACGTATGGTAAAGTCTGTATAGGTAAACATTTGTCTGATAATTTCCCTATCCAGAATGGTCAAAAGCATGGAGATGCTTTATTGCTACTCCTTTTCAACATTACTTTAGAATATGCCATTAGGAAGGTCCAAGAAAACCAGGTGGGACTGAAATTAAATGGGACATATCAGCTGTTAGTCTATGCTGATGATGTGGATCTACTGGGTGATACTATAGATACCATAAAGAGAAACACATGCACTTTAATTGGTGCTAGTAAGGAGGTTGGTCTAGAAGTAAACACAGAGGAAACTAAGTATATTGTGAAGTGTTGCGCTATCTCATCACCAAACTGCAGGGCAAAATCATGACATAAAGATAGGTAACAGATGTTCTGAAAATGTGGCACAGTTCAGACATTCGGGAATGACAATAAAAAGTGAAAACCTGATTCAGGAGGAAATTAAAAGGAGACTGAACTTGGGTAATGTTTGTTGCCATTCAGTTCAGAAAACTTTTGTCTTGTCATCTGCTGCCTAGAAACATAAAAATTAGAATATAAAAAACTATAATTTTGCCTGTGGTTCTGTATGGATGTGAAACTTTGTCTTTGATATTAAGGGAGGAACATAGACTGAGGGTATTTGAGGACAGGGTGCTGGAGAATATTTGGACCAAAGAGACATGAAATGATGGGAGGCTGGAGAAAACTACATAATGAGGAGCTTCGTAACTTGTACTCTTCTCCAAGTATACTTAGAATGATCAAGTCAAGGAGGGCGAGAGGAATGCATGTAGGATATTGGTGGGAAAGCCAGATGGAAAGAGACCACTGGGGAGACAAATGCATAGGTGGGTGTACAATATTATAATGGATCTCAGAGAGATAGGATGGGATGGTATGGATTGGACTCTTCTGGAACAGGACAGGGACCAGTGGAGGGCACTTGTGAACACGGTAATGAATCTTTGGGTTCCATAAAATGTTGACAAGTTCTTAAGTAGCTGCACAATTGGCAGATCTCAAGAAGGGCTCAGCTCCACGAGTGAATGAGTGAGTGAATGTATACAGCACACGAATAATAAATTTTTCTCATATGTCCCACTGCAAGCAGGGATCAGATGTATGTTATATTTACTTTTATTTTTATTTTTTGCATCCTGTTGTATTGCATGGATGTTATTTATTAGCTTTGATTAACTTCTATCTGGAAGTTCCCGGACTAGGTTGAACTTACTCAATTCTGGTTGCCATCTCCTTCAAAATAGTCTCCTTGGGAATGTATACAGTGAACCCATCTTTTTTTCCACGCTTCAAAAGCACTATGGAAGTCATTTTCCTTAATGCTGTTGAGCACTGCTTGCGATTTGTTTTCGATGTCAGACACTGTTTCAAAACGTCATCCCTTCAGTTTCATTTTCAATTTGGGAAATCACAGGGGGGTAAGTCTGGCAAGTAGGGAAGATGGGGAACGATAACCATGTTGTTAGTCACAAACTCTATGGTTATCAGGGGGGTGGGGGCAGGCATGTTGTCATGATGGAGCCAGTTGTGGCTGCACTAGAGTTCTGGTATTTTTCATTGCATATCTTCTCTCAAACATCACAGTTTGTTTCTGGATCATAACCGTAAATCCAAATTCTGTCACCTGTTATGAGCCTAGAGATAATTTTGGATCATCATTAGCCTTGTCTCATAGCTCAAGACACATGCTTATGCGCTGCTGCTTTTGATCATTAGTCAAGAGTCAGGGAACAAATTTGTGGCAATTTGGTGCATGTTAAAATTTTCAGCTAAGATCTTCTGGCAAACTCCATAACTGTTCACAACAGTATCTGAGAGTTCATGGATTCTTCAGTGACAGTTTTCGTTGATGAGTTCTCAAATTTTTCAAAGACCACTGTCAATCTTAAAGAATGTTCTCCAAAAGTCTCACAAAGCATTTAAAGGGTTTTGGAAGCAGATTTACTTAGCTTAACACAAGACTTGATGCAGACACATTGCTCGATTTTGTCATTCATCGCGGATAAAATGAAACATGAAGTAAAAAATAAAAACACTTATGTGAAAGCAATGCGTGTTCTCAGTGTGGCAGACTGATGCAATAGTCTTGCGGAAGCGTGACCTTGGCCTCCCCTCTCATCTTCTTCCACTGAGGCAGTTACAACAATAAAAGTCCAGGAATTTTCTGATAGCACCTGTACTAAACCCTTGTTGACGTCCTATTAGTTAAACTGTATACTTATTTCTGTCGGATTCTTCTGTTCAAATACAAATTTTAGAGTGTGCATTCTCTCTACTGGTTAGCCNCTGGAAGTTCCCGGACTAGGTTGAACTTACTCAATTCTGGTTGCCATCTCCTTCAAAATAATCTTATTAAATTAACTGTGTTCTTAAATAAACTGATTCATAATAAAAATGTTTCTTGAATATGAGTGTGCCTTTCTGAATCTTTATTCCTCTTCTCAGAGTAAATTTTTTGACACTTTCCATATCTCTGAATAATTGACTTTGGAATAAATATTATATATAAAATTCTGCAGTAATTTTAACAATCCTCCTCCTTTGGAATAGGTTTAATCACAGCCTCATACAATTCATAACTTCAAACACTGACAAGCACTGTAATCTTAAAAATATGAGGCTCAATGGCTACTTTACAGGTAATCAAGAAATTATGAAAAAAATCAGAATGTGGCTTTTACAGAGAGCATCAAATTTATAATATAAAAAAAATAAAGATGTAAATCTTAAAAATTTCAAGAATAGAAAAACATGCAATGTGTTTCTGATGAAAAAAGAAAGAAAGAAAAAGAAGAAAAAATGTGAAAGAGAATCAAATACTAGAACAAGTTAAATTAATTTATTTAGACTACCTGATATCATATTGAAAAACGACATAAAATGCAAATTAACACAATTCCAGCAACAGACTAACACAATACAAGGAACCTTGAAAGACAAAATTCTTAAAAATATGCAAAACTGCAAGAGTCAACTGCAAGGCCTGTCCCTTCATATGACTCAGAAGTCCAGACAATACCAGAAAACAACAGAAACATGTTAGCAGGCGCTGAAACATGTCTCGAGGTAATCAGTAGGAGTTACACTTCAAGATCATGATGGAGTCAAAAAGATGATGATAAAAATAACAATAATTCAGTTCCATTCTTTATTTATTTACGTGATGGGCTCAAATGCCTTCCTATTTTTTTTAAATATACTTTTATATATTTATGTGCATCTTCTACCAGTTTCATTTTTCATAATTAATGCACTAACTCACATAACTTGGTCTACCTTTTACTTTATTTAGCTCTAACTTTGCTCTCTGTGTTTCTGATTATTTATAGTATATCAGACAATGTGTGGTTTCATTTACTTTACATGTTGGATCCACTTAACAAGATAAATGGTACTCACCAGATAAGGTGAGGTTTGAGAAGTCCTTCTCAAACAGACTGCTAGAGGCTTGGAAGAACTCACAGAAATCAGCAGTGGTGGGTGGAGGTGACGGAGAATCTAGAGTAAATGAGCAGGGAGACTGAAGGCAACTGGATGATGCTGGGCTCAGAGATGAACTAGGAGTACCAACATCATAATATCTGAAAAAGACACAGAAGTTATTTACGTTTTATTTTTATGCTGCATTTAATTCATATCCACCATACTTTAAAAACTTTAACACAGGTGAGAGAAGCATCTTACAGCATAGATCAAAAAATTATTCAGAATTGGTTTGATGATGATCAAAGATGACTGTGATACTTCACTGAAGTACACAGATGTACTTTAAAGGACTCTATCAACTATTTTCTAATGGCAGTATCTGACTGTTTTCTGAAGAATAAACAAGAAATTTGTCCTTCAAAATAAAGAAAATACAGACAACTTATTAAAAAAAGTGTCAGAAAATTCAGGTGCACATTTCCTGAAATTACACTCCTTATCATTTTCATAGGTTGTTAAAAGGAGAAGTTAAAAAAAATACACGTGCGCGTGTGTATATATACATTTAACATATTTCCTGGGGACTAGGAGAAGGGTCTAAAATGTGATAATGTCTAAGAAAATTCTTACTGCAAATAATAAGATAAAGTTGTATCTGTACTTAATTAAGCACCATGCCATGAATATAATGGGGTGGGGTGGGCGGAAGAGGTATTACACTGCATTCTTAATCTCAGTGCAAAATGCAGATAAGTTATCAGCTACACATATCCTGGCCACTTCACTGTAAGGGCCCTGAGTATTCAAAGCATAGGAGGCTGGGTGGGACCCAGAACCAGTCTTGACATGGTTGCAAAATGAAAAATCCCTTCTTCTTACTTCAAACGCTAGTCATCCACTTCCTAGAAAGTCATTACACTTCTGAACTGTTCTAGATTTATGCTGCTAAATGTTCCATATATTTTCAAAGAAGTCTCATAATGGAATCATAAGTTGAATGGGCATTACATCTGCACATAAGAGTACCAACCTGTAGTTGTGATCACTGAATTCAAAGTTAAACTCCACAGGTTCAAAAGATGATGATGGTTCATCCATAAGCAATGGTTCCATAAACACTTCACTAAGAGAGTCACTGGCTGTTGTCAGGGATTCTGGCTGTGATGGACTGCAGTCATGTCCCAGCATCATATCTTCACTTTCATTCTGTCACACAAAACATAAGCAAGAGATACACATGTCTGAGTTGACAATTAATGAGTGAAGGGTGAATATTTATTATACTGCCATACTTACAACAATAATGATATTAATATTCCTTAAAAAATTCAATAGTAACGATCAGTAACCAACAGTTACCAACAGTACACACATAAAAGCCACAGTAAATAAAGTACCACATTTTTGAGCTTTAGAAAATGTATATGCAAAATGTGAATTTTTTTCATGGAAATCAACTAGTATATATCATTTTGCAAATAATATTATGAAAAGTAGACGTGTAACAATAAGAAAATATAAAAGCATTATGCAGCTTTCAGTGAAAGTGCAATATGCTGGTCGCAGAAGCAAATGACTAAGCAGACTGCAAATAGAATTTAACTTGTCAAGCTACTGTTATTTTTCAGTGCCCCCCTCCACAAAAATCCTATTTATGATCAGGATACACAAAACATCACTTCTACCAGCTGTTATGAATGAGTATGAAACACTGTCTCTTGAATACATTAGGGGTAGGTCTAGACCAGCCTTTGCACCACGACCTTCAATAATCTATTCTGCATAACATGGTCTCTTAGTCTGTAGGAAGAACAAAGTTACAACTGTCTGAAAGCAAAGTGCTCAGAGAAATATTTTTATCTAAGAATGAAGTAAGTGAGCAATTTAAAACATTACTAGAGAACGGCATATTGAAATCAATGGGAAACTGTGAAGTAAAAGCCCTATTTAAAGTTACTTTGTGAAGCAGTGAATTTGAACATGAAACTTCAGAAAATACTAAATTGAGGAAATTTAACACTGAGATTATTGATTTGGGTTATGTGAAAGGGGGGGGACATTAAATGCAGATTACATTTTACTGACACAAAAATCATATTTATTGCATATGTTTCCAGAGAAAGCCATTTTACACTCTAAAAATATGAACATAGCTCCAAATTAAACTATTTGGATGAAAGAGTACAGTTTAGTGGTTTATTAAAATAAATGTAAATTTAAATTATACATGTTTAAGCAATGAAATAGTCACTAAATAAAAAAAACTTATCAAAGGAAATCAATGTTGTAAATGTTAAGTATTTCAGTTAATCTTCCTTTGCTAACCTAGGCTGACCCTCAATGAGTATGGTGAAGAAGAGTGACTTCATGAGACTTAAAAACTGATGCTTTAAAATAATATGAAAATTCTCTTCAGCCAGCATGTCATGATCGAACAGGAATTCAAGGTGGACAACATGATGTGTAAATACACATCCAAGAATGTTTTGCCATTAAACAGACTGGAGAAAGGAAGTAGTTCCTTTTAATTGTCCCACCACAGCACACCACGTTTCTATACCTCAGGAACAATGCAAGATAAAATATTAACTGAAGGGAAAATTTACTTTCCTTTACTTTGTGACAGTCAATTAAAATATGAAATTTAGGCCACTAACCTTTATCCTTTCTGGCATAGCTGCAATTATCTGTTCAGCCAATGTCAGTACTCGAACTTCTTGCTCCCCTGTTGAACAAAATAGATTTTGTAAAATGTGTATAGTTTTAAAAGGATTTAGAGGGATTCTTCTGCCTTTCATAGAATATCCCATGGTCAATTATCACGGTCAAACACATTCACGCATTCAGACTAATAGATAGAAACTTCAAATGTGACTTTCTATGCTATAGATCTGAAATTCATGATGTGATGCAGCTGAATATTTGTTCTTATATCAGCAGTTCATGTTAAAATCCATAGATGGCTCTGTGGTACTTAGGTATCAACAGACATCAGCGAAGACAACCTACAAAATGCTTCTGGCATAAATATGGTCAACATGTCAACATTCACAGACCTGTCATGAGGCCTCTTTAACTCCCTAATTGCCAGTTCTTCTTCCAGGAAATGTTATAAATATAACATTGAGAAAACTTTTCCCTTGATATATGTTTATATATAGGAGAGACAAATTCGAGGATACAAAAAGTAAAGCACAGAGAATATTAAATTATAGAAAATTTTTCATGTAGGAATCTAATATTAGCCTACCAGCATCTTTCTGTGAAAGTTCCTAATTCACAATTTGCTATACAGAATGTCTCAATATTACATGCCTTATTTTACATGATGGTTTCTAGAAACCAAAATAGGTAAGAAAGTTCATATGAATATGTACCCTGAGGGCCTTCCTTAAGAAGGTATAGCAATTTCAATTTCAACTTATATAGTCACAACTTACACACTTCTTAAGGTTAGTGGGTTGTGTATAAGAAGGAAACAAATAAAAGACAGTAATATGGTGGAATACTGTCATTTTCAAACCATATGTGATTATGTGTATTGAATGGGGCATCTTCCAACAGCCCACTGCAATTTGGCTGAAGATAACTAAGGTAACTGTGGCCACTAACTCATGCCGATAAAATGTAAGAACCTACAAGTAATCAAATGGATCTCTACAATCATAATCCAACACTTACAAAATGCTCTCAGAATGTGGCAACAGAAAATGACATTTCCTAATGGCTATAACTTTTCAAGGAAGACCCTCAAGGAACATATTCATATGAACTTTACTTATTCTGATATCCAGGAACTTTCCTGTAAATATGGCATGTACGAGAGCTATTCAGAAAGTAACCTCCAGTGAGCTGTTAACAAACAGTGCAATGAGAAAAAAAATATTATATACAAAAAATACATTCATAAGGTACTTCTCAATGTAGTCACCTCTGGAATTGAAGCACTTGTTATATCAGGGAATAAGTACTTGTGTGCCTGTGTCAAAGAAGTCCGCTGTCTGGTGTTCAGCCATGTTTTGTATCATGAAACACTAGATGAACTACACAGAGCCATTCAGAACAAAAAGTGTAGAATGCTGACATACAGTTAATGCCCTTCCATGTTAATGTGTGTCTGCATACACTTGAATACTGTTCGAGCATTTCAAATGGGAGTTATCTGACCACCCTCCTTTCGCTCAGAGTGACTACCACCTGTTTACCTACCTGAAGAACTGGTTGTGATCACAGCGCTTCAACAATAGTGAGTTGATGGAAGGAATCCAAACATGGCTGAGCTCAGAGGCAGCAGACTACTCTGACACAGGTATACAAAAACTTATTCCCCATTATGACAAGTGCCTCAATACATATTTTTTGTAACATTTTTTCTCATTGCTTTTTTTTTGTTAACAGCTCACCAAAGGTTACTTTCTGAATAGCCCTCATAATAATGAGATATTGCATATCTATAATATTATGGCATGTAAAACTGTTGCTAGGCAACGACTGCATAGGAAGCAGCTATACAACAGTCATTACTGAGTAAAGGTGTTTTCTGTGCAGTCCGTGCTGAGATGTTATAAGCATAACAGTTAGTGAGAGTCGACAGTTGGAGCAATGAGTTAGTTGTGATGGTCAGCAGCCAATAGGAACGTGAGCATAGAAGCAGAGGACATTGCTGGGTCTGTCATGAGCCTGAAAAGACCTAGTGTATCCTACAGTGATCTGGGAAGTGTGGTCATGAGTTGTGTGTTATAGAGTCCAATAAATCCGATTACCAATCCAAACCCCATCTACAGTCACTCAATCAAGTGAATACTTGTGTCAGAAGTGGGATTGGATTGAAGACTGTATTGTGTAGTTATACCACTACACTACAAAGATGGAACAAATACTGGCATGCCTGCTGGCAGAAATGAAGTAACATCCAAGAGAAGATGGATGTCTGGCTAAAAGAAATGAAGATCTAGCAAAAAGAGATAATAACCTGCCAAGAAGTAATGGAGGCCTGTCTAGAAAAGGTGAAGGCAAAGGCTAACCCACAGAAGACAAAGACTGGCTTGGAAGAAATGGAGGCGGCAGTGGAAACCGACCTTGAAGAAATGAAGGCCAAGTTTTCTTCAAAGAAAAGTTTAACAAGAGGGACACCTATCTAGGAAAGATGAAGGACAATATAGAGACCAGTCAGGAGCCAAGGGAAGATGAAAGTAGGGCTGATCTGAAAGAAGTGGACACCACAGGTTTGGAGGCCATAGCGGAGCAACAGGAAGTCCCTAAGAAAGAGGTCGCAGTGGAGATGATCGGAGTACTGGACGACTGATATGGGGACTGGCATCTAGCTGTAGGGTGCTGCTGACAGCCGAAGAAATGGACCCAGGGCAATGGTGGATCCCGGAAGATGGCCGCTGCCAATAGACAGATGACTTTCCATTACCTTCCAGCATCACGCAAGGGACACAGTCATCATGGACCAGACTAGAATGATGTGTGTGAAACCCCTAAATGACGGACTTTCGGGAAGTGACCTAAATGTAACACTGTCATAACGGACCAGGGCCTGAGATGGGAGCTGCCTCTGGGGAACAAGGAAGATATTTTATGAGGACCTCGAACAAATCATCAGACTGGAGGTTGCAAAGCCAACAGTCGAGTTTTCCATCGGGCTGTGGAAAATGAATGTAAAGACATTATAGATGAGTCAGCTCCCACCCAAATGGAAGAAGAGACTCCTCAGCATCTTACTCATATGAGCCAGATATGTAGGAGCACCAGCAATTCTCAGAAGTTCTACCTGCAGCATTGGAAAAGATGATGGTTGCACGCCTGGACTGGCTCACAACTTATCAGGGAACTGATCAGGATGAGTGGCCTTATGGAGGGAGCAATGAGAGCAGTTGAGGAGTAATCACTGTGAGAAATTGGCCACAGGGAAGGAAGGCTAGGCTGATTACAGACATGACTAGCACAGCCCTGGGAGAAGAAGAAATGGTAGTATGTCTGTAGGCCTGTAGAACAGTTAGTGAGAGTCAACAGTTGGAGCAGTGAATTAGTTGTGAGACAGTTGCCAGCTGGTAAGAACGTGAGCCTGGAAGCAGAGAACACTGTTGGATCCATAAACAGGCAACAACCGATGAAAACATAGCAGACTGAGATGACTTAGTACTTGCTGTAGTGAATGGCCTTGTGTGCATGTGAATTAGTGATAGCAATATAGTTACTTGCAGTTACAATCTGTAAGTGTTCAATAAATCCAATTACCAATCCAATCTCCTGCTATAATCACTAACACGTGACAATATAAACTTCTGTTTCCCCAATTCTTTCTATTCTGTCTCTCTATAGGCTATTAGGAGACAATGTAAAATAATCTTATGTAATGCATAATGCAATATAAGTCCATTAATGTCTTGTTACTATGCAATCACATGTGGTTTAATCCACAAAATGATCTATTTATCATTTACAAGATATTACCAGGCAGTACCATGATAGTAAACAACACATTTCAGCACATCACCTTCCAAGTACACAGTTACTGTTAACATTGTTTATGAATTATGTTAAAGATGCATGCAGTAGATGACTGAATCTAATATACATGAAGTATTACACAGATGCATGATATAATAAATAAGCAATTTCATTATTTCAGTATAGCATACTTCAAGAAAAACCAAAATTAAAAATGAATAATTTAGTTGGAATACACAGTGATGAATGTAACACTAAGCTAAATCACTGCTTCCTGACAAAATATTAAATGCCAAAGACTTCCTTGATAATATGAACCTCAATTGTTGAGCACTTAACAGTGACAATTTCCACATTAAACAGAAGGTCTACAGGAATAAACAGCACAGTTTTAATTTTGGCCCACCAATATTAGTATACAATCTCCATGGTACAGGGTGATTGAGCAGGTGATTGTTATGTAGAGACATTATAAATTTCCTGTTATTATGGAACCCTTAGGTGCATGACCACATCACATTAACCTATCACTGAACCCTGTCCTAAGCCACATCAATCTGAAGCTTATTTCTATAAAATTTGAGCTAATATTATCAAAAAAAGTTTCTTGGGCTATCAGCCACGTGAAGATATAGTTTGTTTCTTTATCTCCATCTGCATCATCAGGGATTGCTGTGATAAGTGATGCTACTGCACCCTGTATTTATGCCCAAGTACTATGCCCCTGAAGCCTAAAGTTCTGTTCCAGTGTTGAGTGCCTAGGATCTGAGCTCTGACAGCATACTGTTGGGGTGTACATAGTACAATGTGCACTTGTGTCACTGATCACATCAAACCCTGATGATAGAGATGGAGGAAGTCTACAACAATGGATACTAAATCCATCTTCACATAGCTGATCACCCAGAAAGTATTCATGGTACACAGTCACTGTGAAAGCTTCATATCATATTTAAAATTATTCTCCTATCTATATCTAATTGCAAAAATTGTTCTTTTCTCTTCATACACTGTAACCAAAATGTTAACTTAACTAGCTTCATAGTGGAGGGTCATCCTTGAAAAGTTGATGTTATTCAGCCAGTCAAGAAATACACTGCTTTAATGGAACATGGTGGTTTGTTATCATATTCACAAAAGCATGTCACTGGATTCATGTCACGCACTACATATCCAAGTTCCAAGCTCTCTGTGACATATCATAATATGTTACTTATTTATGCCGAGAGGCTGACAGGCTTGCATCCAACACCCAAAGCATCAAGACATCTTTGTGTCAGCTGTCCATGTCTGCCTATTCCATACATTTGGAAGTGATCTACTTCACCTGAAAATTCAGGTCATGTCATGCTGCAGTGAGAAGGGACCAAGTTAACAAGATTAATTTATATTTTGTATGCATTTATTTTTTCCTTGTGCATGCCACATTCTCCACCCATCTTATTCAGCCTGATCTGATATGGCAGAAAATTCTGAATGCAGCCAGTTGCTGCTTCTAATTCAATTCATGAATTGCCACACAATTACTGTAATTATCCTGTAAAGCTGTCCTCATCCAGTGACAACTGTTCCAGCCAGAGATTATTAAGTCTGCAATTGTAGGAATGAAATGGCCATATTTAATTTTGAAATAAGATGACACAGAACATGCCTCAGACATCATATGTTAGTTACAAGTGAAAGGGATTTCTTCCTAAATTTGCTGGAGTTTATTCAATCCCAGCAGTCACTTCCCAAGATAATGATTTTATTCTGTCTGTAGAGAAAGCCAGCCTATGGCAGAATACCCAAAGTAAGGAGATCAGGTGGACATGTAATATAAATCACTATTATGATCATGGTAGGCCTACATACAGAAAATTGTTAGCATTAAGAATGATCACATATCTGGACAGATTATGCATGTCTATGATTCCCTAGGTACTATATGGAAGGCACCACTAATCTATAAGCTCAACACAGGGCACAACTGCCCCTGTGACTATTTTTTTTTATTTTTAGTGGGGTGGGACTAAGTCCCTTGTACTGTGGCCACTTCTGGCTTATTGTACCAGCCCCAAATGATAGGTGAGGGTGATTGTGGAGCAATTGGTGGAAATCGGCAGGGGTAACTGAAGTACTCGGAGAAAACCCACCCCAGTGCCACTTTGTCCACCACAAATCCCATTTCACCAGACCCGGGATTGAACCTGGGCCGCTGCAGTGGGAAGCCAGCGACTAACCACTTGAGCTATGGCGTGGCCTCCCCCTGTGACTAAATGCCATATCATAAATGCATATGTGGGAAGAGAGGGTAAACCTCCCTGCATTCTTAAGTTTGAAACTATAGAGATGGGAATGGCCAGTATATTGTTCCAGCCACATAATTCTCAGGGGAATTGTCCATCAGATCAGAGGTTGGATTGGCATGAGAGTAATACTGATTACAGTGGCCAAAGGAAAAATCTGCCCCAGCTGGGAAATAAACCCTGATAATCCTTCCCATTATGAATCATTTTATGACTGAGCAACCTGGGGTATCTCTCTATTTCCTTCCCTCTCTCTCCTCTCTCTCACATACATGTACATTAGGGGCAACTGTATTATTTTCCAGAAAATAATCACACAGTAGGTAGCTAGTGAACACAAAGCAAGCACAGAAAATAGTGGTTAATTCCTGATGATTCTGCAATGGAAAACACTGAAGCAGTGGACATGGTCTACTTTTAAATCTTATAGGACAAAACGTTTATAAGGGCTTGATAAAAACCTTAACATTCTGTCTGATTTATTCATAAATTAATTTATTGCAGTTTATTAACTCTCAAGGTTAATTCCTAAATGAACGAGATGAAATTAAATTCTGTACTGTAAATTACTTACTTCAAGGTATTTATTACATCATTCACCTAGATGGATAAGATAGCATAAATGATACCTTGATTGAGATTCAAACTAGATGCCTATGAAAAGTAAGTAAGATGCATAACTACTGAGACCCACTGGACGTGAAAACCATAAAAAAAACTGATACCATTTAGGATTTTAATTTGGAACTTTCCAAATTAAAGGTACATGATTAGTACAATAAGATATGCAAGAAAGCTTTGCAAGTGCTTGCAAATTGGAACACTTATACTTGTACAGTCTCTGTTCTGAATCCACTACTATTGCTATTAATGTTATATTAATATTTTGTCATGTGATTTGTATCTGCAACTGATATCAATGGCTAACACAAATCTGTCCTTATGGACAGCCCAGACATATAATTTTGTACCCATTGATTAGTCTCTCCTCTATTTACAACTTACAGGAATACATTATTCTTTCCAGATCTGGAAATGATAATTAACACAGACAAATAAAGTCAGTCATTTTACACAGCGATAAGTACAACAACAAAGTCTATTCACACAACAGGATGTGCAGCTGTGAGTGACTGACCTACAATGCTCTGTTTAGCCTCCGACTCTTCGTCCGAGACAGCCTCGACGTCAATGATGGGGCTCTCACTTCTGGGCCCCGTTGCCACTTCGCCTGAACCAACATTCAAGCGTGAAGAAGAATTGTAGAAAAAAGAATACCAAGTACAAAAAATGCAGAAAACCATATGCAAAGCAAAAATACAATCTCACCCATATTTCCTGGTTAAAATGCATATAGTTGACAAGTCTCTCAGAATCCAAATCTGAACAGATATTCTTTATATAGATATTACAGGCCCCTAGTTCTTTCTGCACTAAAAGCATGTTGAAGTTAAATCATTAAGAAGTATAACAACTTTCTGACAGTTCATGTTAATTTCCAAAATACTGGAATTTAGGCTCTAAAGTAAATTACCACACTCTTATTTGACATATTTATCACTAAATAATAAATAGTTGAGCCAGACTTCTTTCATACATGGTATGCCAAGATGGATATCTGACTTAAACATCTAACTTAAAGTAAATGTAACTTATCTACAAATGGACAACTGAAGTCCATAGGTTTTTAAAGGAAAAAGTACTATAGCTGTTCAGCAAAACAATTTTTTTTCCCAAGGATATTTGCCTGATCTGGAGAATTCTAATTTTTCTGTTTTTCTTTTGTGGTTTCTCACTACATCATGGATTTTTATCAAGATAAATTTCGTTCTATTTGTTGTGGATAAAAGCAATAATTTGTAATACTCTGATCTTGAAAGGCTGTAAATCACCGAAATCTGAATTATATAATTCATTATTCTACTCCAAAACTTGAGAAGTTTTCTGTTAAGAGCAAGCACAACAACGCTTGTACACAGACTGCAGAGAAGCAAATGTGAGAAATGAAGAATTAAGTTGTTTTAGAACCATCTAATCATTCTGGTGTGAAAATAAAAATATAATTTATATTTCATATTATATCTGAACATTTCTGTTAAGATTTGGAAACTTCAAGAAGCATAGAGACAGCATGCTCTAATAATACTTCAAAATATATTTACAAGCCTTTAAGAGAGATAATTAAAGATACTGTGTCCAAATGAACTCAATTAAAAGATGAATACATAAATGGTAAACTATAATCATATTTAGTATATATAAAATGCGAACCTAAACTAATATTCTAAATTAAATGCATTAACATGTCACTAATTAATGTTATCAAAACATTAGAAAACATTGCATTTTCATTTATAAAAGATTCGTTGTGTTGCTAACATGATGACTTGCTTGACTTATAGCTAGAATTTCTTAAATATTTAAATCTGCATACAATATGCAATTGAAATACAAAAAAAATCTTCTGAAAATGACTTATATCCATCTAACAAGCTCTGATGGGTGCAATAGTGAAAGTTGAAAACAAGTAAAATCTGCATAATTCCTGTTAGAAATGCAAACAACCAAAACAAGAGATGTAAAAGTACAACTAACAAGCATAAAACACTACCAATAAGAAATCTGATAAATCCCATGTTGCAGCCTGGGATGCACCTGTAAGACAATGCTTCTCTTCCGAAGCTGTTTCCGTGCCCATAAGTTAAACTACTATGTAAATAAATAAATACAAGGTAACTTACTACTTTTTTAAAAAAAACAGGCTATTTCTTTACAATTTATTGAACAGAGAAATGATCAATCCTGTTTCTGGTATCCATCCTCAGAGAAATGGTTTGAAAAGTCATATGGCAAAAAGAGGCCTATCAAGAAACTTAATATATAAAATTTAACACACACACACACACATTATCACATATGAGTTATAATTGCTTCTGCTCAGTTACAGCTTGTCTGCTTAACAGACTGCTCCCACAAAGAAAATAAAAAGACAATTTTTTATAAAATGGTTAACCATTATGTTGTTTTCAACATCCTGCCATCTAAAGACAATAACTGTATTACAAGTTGTAATAAATGTATGCTATGGCATATTAGATATCTGCCCATACAGGTGACTATTGCTACTTCCATGGCTGTGAAATATGACTAGATGAATGCAGAAATAATTCATGTCAAGGGCAGCAGATTTAATTTACCTACATAGTTGAGATATTAATCTTGAAAGCTAAGACACATTTTTTTTAGCATTCTGAATAAACAAAATCAATTAACATGCAAGTGATTAGGCAGAAATGTGAAATGTGAAAGACCATATCAGGCACTGGTAATTCCTCCAGTATGACTAGCAGTGCACCACCAGATTGCTGAAACTGGAGCAATGTGACACAAACAACTTTCGTCATCTTCATCGAATTGTCTGTCTAATAAGGATTAACCTTACTGTTTTAGAGACTGTAATGCCCTTTAGTCTGGTAGACCATTAGCAAAGTTTTGGAAGAACAAGCTGTCCCCACCTTCAGGACAGAGTATGCCTAGTGTGGGGGAAAAATGTGGCATAGAATAGAGGGAACTCCAACCCAAGACGAACAGTAACAATGGTATCTGCCTATGGAGGTGAAGGAAACTTCTCATTTCCCCCTGGAAGAAAACATAAGGAGCATTCTTCACAGAATTTCTTGTGATCTGGTTCCCAACCAGGCTGTTAAGCTATGGAAACAATGCTCCTGTTAGGGCCTCCTTCCTCTTTCCTCCACCTACACCCCCAACTTAACCACTTTATCCTCTGAATAAGTCCCTGATAGTGTTTTTTCTTTCTCCCATTTACTCTGCCCTTCAAAATGGCCATCAGTCCCTTGCTCTGTTTCTCCTGACTTCTCTCTACCTCCAATTCATTCACCCAGCCATTATTTCTCCAAATTATGCTGCAATCAGAAAACAGACCATTAAAGGCCCAAACATTCTTCATTTTATTCTCTGCATTCCTATTGGTTCACTCAGGGTCCCAGTCGTCGTCTGCCCTCTCCCCACATGCATACCATTTCTTCACTGCATGGCTTACTCTTCTGAAATGTTGGCAATAATTTATCAAACTATAAAGCATCAGATTCCAGAAGATGGTAGCTGTCACAGTCACACCCATAGTCACTGCCATGAGAACCTCAACACTCACAATGGCTCCAATGTTTTGTTTCGCACTGTATACTTTATAAATCACTGCACTTCTTGCCTTTGTATGCACCAAGACAGTGAGGAGGGTACAAAAACAAAAACAAACTCCATAGCCTTAGTCTGCAAGTGAACTATACCAACCGAGAGACCGCCGCTTGTCGGCAAAGTTGACAGCCATCACTAAAACTAGAGCAGTATTCTTCAACTCTCTTTTGCCCCTGGCACACAAACGGCAGCACACCACAAAATTTTGCTTCATGAAAACGGGATATGAACCTATACCTGGCCATAAATATGTATCTACATGCAAAGCCCTCAGAATTACTGGGTCTTTTTACTTTTTCCATCGTTCAGAATTCTAAGAAATAGAAAATATTACGTTTCAGAAACTGGATCTGTTTCCTTCTTCGGGTGAGGAAGGAAGACACCTACTCAGTTGGGCCCCTTAGAAAGAGCTAATCTCAATCAGTGAGATTTCCAGACAATGAAATAGGTCCAAAAACACAGTAAATCTGTGTTATCCACCATTGTCAGGACCCTTCAGAATCTATAAGAAGCCCTGTACAAAATATGTTGAATAAAATTGTCAATGATGAATCTGCATGGGGGAGGAGGTTTGTTTGTTTGTTTGTTTGTTTGTGTGTATGTGTGTGTGTGTCTATATCACACCTAATATCTTGTCTTGTGGTAGCACACTGGATGTGGAACACTGGGCTAGAGGTCACAAAACTGTGCCTTCACACATTCATTAGCATAAGGAGACAGGGAGAACATAGTTCTGGTAGTGTCAGTTTGTGTGGTTGCATTTCCACATGATCTGACTTATAGACCAGGCTTCAACACAGAGACCAAGGGCAGTATACTTCATCCAGCTAGCATACAAGAGTCAGACAAAGAAAATGTAACAAATTTATAATATATATTTGAAGCTAATGAAGAACAATTTCTAGTCCTAAAATATACTACTGTCACATTACTAAGTGTGAAGACAGTTATTATCTCTCAATGACATGACAACCAAAATCATTTTGCAATGCCATATCAGTTCTGAAGTTTTCATGGCAGTGAGCATTATGATTATGGTCATTTGGAATGTGAGTTTGTGTAATTTAAAACACAGGTACCAACGTTTCAGACGAACCTGCTGCCAGTGTCTTCTGTCCTGAAGATGAAGACAGCAGGTTCCACTACCAAACTACAAGGCATCACACCTCAGAAGACCACAATCTTAATTTTGCATCCAATTTTTAATGCTTGTCAAAAATGTCATCACAGTGGTCCTTTACTTTTGCAGTACAGATACAGTGTGCTTCACATTATGGGCATTCCAGTTACTGAAATTTGCCCTTACAGAAATTATAAAACATGACCATAATACTAATGATACTGACAATAAATCCACTCTTGCAGAAACTTGGAATAAATATTATTTTTAAAACAAGATATAAACAACAAGAAACCCAGCCAAAACTATTTTTTAAAGAAATTCAGATTGCATGCACAAGCATCAGTGATGTAACAAGATATGTAACTGGCCACTGGCTAGTATACACATGTGCACCAGTTACACAGGGTATCCTGGTAGCACTGTTACTTCCATCTTATTTTAGATTTGTAATGTATTACCCTAATTTGTGTGCGTTTTTGTGCACCTACCATTATTTCTGATGGATAAAGACCATACTTTTATTAAAATTGTGAACCAAAGAAATTAGTGTAAGGGCACATACCATGGGGTGTCAAAAACTATATGATTCATATATCAAAAGTTCTTGATACAGGCACATTCTGAAGAAATCATTTCTTCCATAACATGGGGGCATGCTGTAATAATTTTTAAACAATGTGAACACCAAACACTGAAGTACAGTGGTCAGCATGCCTCTTTTATCTGGGAAGTCCTATGTTTACACAAATATCTGTTATCCTGGGGAACTAACATTCTCTTGTAAGATTTGAGGCTTTCACGGCAGTGACTATGAAGAAAGCAGTCTTCTGGGATTTGGCACCGTGTATAAGTGGTGTTAACCGACGTTTCGGAGGAACGTATCGCCTCCATCT